GTCATGATTATCTATCGTCTGCTATATTTGCTTCTTATTTATTAAATCCAGGCAATTGGTTGATGAAACATTGATTCAAATTAAGATACAATTAATTAGGGGTGACCCCGAATAGTCGAAGATTCGATGCTTCGATAGGAGGAGCCTGATTCGACTACCAATCTCACGGTCGAATCTTCGCAGATGTGTTATTAAACGAGGATTAAGTCATTTTGGCTATATGAGTGTGCTCAATGTCTGATTTCACATAGAACTACTGGTTTTCTGTCAATACGTTAATATAGGCCTACAGCCTATTATGATAATGCTGTCAATAAAAATGTGCAAAAAAAGAAGCTTTTAATAAATATTTTTAACGTGCGTGCAGCGTGAATAAATCCAAACACCCCGTGACAGATTTAAGTTTCACTTTCGATCCGTGACCGACAGAGGAGCGTCTTGTCGGCAGGGATTTAAATCTTTAAAAATGTCTGGGATAAGAAAATCTAAAGATGCACACTATCAGAAAGGATATTCTCCAAGGCTGGATTTAGCATCAGGAAAACCATGATCGCACTTCTGGCGGCCAACGTTAACAGGTTGGTTTTCCTCGGGACCTTCTAAAACGCTTAACGTGAAAAAATGTGCTTTTAAAACGCTTAAATGGCACTTTTACGTGCTTAATGTATGTACACAGTAGGCTACACACCTTAAGAAACCATTCTATGTGCAGATAAGCAGATGAACCCAGAATATGAACGCAACGCGTTTCTCCTATAGAAAGTCACGTAAAGCTTTTTCTTTAACGGTTTTCTATGGGAGGAAAATGCTTATAGGCCTAATAAAACGCGTTGCGTTCATATTCTGGGCTCATCTGATTTTCTGTAGGCTATATAGTATGCTTTATTAATAAGGTGTGTACATAATTTGATCTTTTAATATAACAGTTTTAGAACAAAGCCGTTAAGCGTTTTTCACGTTAAGCGTTTTAGAATGTATTTTATCCACGCACACAATTTGAAAAGACTCAAACGGACACAGGCCGAGTGAAAGACTGGATTTTGTTTTTTCGATCAGGTAAGTGATTTCAAAACATTTCAGCCGGTTCTAATTTGATTTTTGGATATTGTGAACACGTTTAGCTAAAAAGACTGCCGCTCCAGTTTAGCGTTTATTGTTGTTTCTGCAGTTAAAAAGACAAAGTTGACAATCCTGGCCATACTTTCGTTATTTTAATAATTTCTTTATTTTTATTTTATTAATTGATCACTCAGGGTGATCTAATTTAACTATTTGTGACATGTGTTTTGAATATGTTCCCCTGCACTTTAGGCATTTTGCACACATTTGTTCTGCTTCTTGTGACTTGATTCTGACTTATTTCGTTTTGTATTTTTATTTATTATAAATGTATATTGTGTTCTTAATTGTTGATTATTTTTCAGTGCATCGATGTTGCGCTGTAGGCCTACTTAAGAGCATGCTCGTACAGGCAATTCAGCCGATTTAATTTGATTTGCATGTGAAATGCAAATCCTATCTGCAGTGTGGCCTTTCTGCAGTTATTTATGTTATTTCTTAGTTTTATTGATCCAAAATGTTTTTATACATTTTCTTCTATATCTTTGTGTGATGTTCTGTACATCGTGGCTTTAAAATGTTTAAGCCCCGCCCCCTCCCCAACACCACACACATGATTCGACTATTAGTCGACTATAGGCAGGACTTGACGAATCTGATTCGACTATGAAAATCCTTAGTCGGGGACACCGCTACAATTAATACAAAACTTTGTGCTTTCTGTTTGAGGTCTCTGCGAAAGTTTTAAAGCAGTCTTTAGTGCCGCTTTCCCAGAGCGGTCACGTCCGTAACGGAGAACGGTCATGTCCTAAGCGCGAGTCTCAGGTTCCTATGGGACATCATACGAAGTTTAAAACATTTAAATAGACACATCATGTAGTAATTAATGTATATGAATCTTAGTTGATTATAGGCTATTAGAACTAGTTGCTGAGACGGAGACGCGCAGAGACGGCAATTAACGCGCTGTTTGATTTGTGATCGTGCTGTGCTTATTCAATTCATTCGAGTAGCCTGTATATTGAACAAAGCTTAAATCATTTAAAATGTACACACAATATTATACAATATCCTATTTGAGCTGATATTACTCTTGCCAAGCTGTGGTTTCTGAGAGATGCACGCATAGACGGATTTGCGCTCGTTTCTTTTTTACTCTCACTCATTCACTTCACTCATTATTGCATAGATATTTTAGATAAGGTATTTGGCTTCGGGAACACCCCTAATCTACTCCAGTAAAAAAAAAATCTGGAGGATGACCCACCCACATTTTTTTTGCTTCCGACGCCCATGAATATATATAAACATTTTTTACATGTATCTTCTGTGGAAGTCTCAGGACTAAAAAAGGTTCGTCCAATCATTGCATTCGGTCCGAATGAAATTATAAGAAGTCCTACCTGCCTGTCAACATATGTATTTGCATACCTCGGCGCACAGTGTTCGCTCAGACATCACACGTCATCAGCGCGTTACATGAGGCTATGCAGAGGTGTAGATAGTCGTAGGGCACCCGCAAACAAACAGCAGCCGCCTTTTACAGTTCCTCCTGAACCAAAACAACGAGCTTATGCTGCGTTAACAACCGTAATTAAGAGATGGCAACCCTGTGGCATTCTACCCGCATAGAATTATGCGTTTCTATACTATCAATGCCGAAATGAATCTGCAGCAGTCAGGTGGTACAAGTCAGCGCTCTGAGTTTTATTATTGTGATGTTATGTGCTTTGTGACATGAGGTAATTTAATGCCGTCTCTCATCTTGTGATGCTTTGCAGACTCTGCTCCGCCGCGTGCGCTCACGTGTGGGATCTTATATTTCAAAGCTAGCTTGTTATTGCTAACCTCTACGAAATTGCATACCCTACCTTTAATAGCTGCCCCGTATATTGTCGCACTAATTCATCAAATCTCATTGAAAATGAGACTTGGTTATTGTTAATGTTGTCTTGTGTTTAGTCATGATCCTCAGGGATCAATTAAACATTTACTGTGTCTGTATATCCAAATGTATGTACATTTATTATTATTATTATCAAGGTTCTACTTTTAAATGTTTGACTTATAAAGTCTTTAAATTGCAGCCTGAAATGGTATTCCCATTTCTTTGTAGGGTTTTTATCCATCTTGATTTGACTGGATCATCATTTTTTATCTGGTCTTTAGAGCCAACCTAAAAGCTAAACCGATCCTACTTACTTTCTTAATACACATCCCTGGTCTTAATGGAAAAGGTTCAGTCTTGTAACATATTCCATTTCACCAGAATTTTTTTATGTGTTTTTCATCAAAATTATTATTTTTTGCCTACATCTAAAAAGACTTCCCAGTTGACGCCTCCAAGTGCCTTCCTTTTTCAACCACTTGTCATAAGTAGACACATTTCTCAATAACCATTTATGGATCTAAAATGTGTCGCAAACAATGTTTCTTTATGAAATCTTCCATGAGTACATGTCATTCTCAGTCAGTGCAGAAAGCTGCCAGTACCTGACATGAACCTGAAATCAGTGAAGTGTGATTTTGCTTATCTAATCTTGTTTTGTCATGTAGTCTCTGCTCTGACTTACCTTCTCAAATCAACCATACCTTGCTAATCCCAAACCTTACAAGCCCTTTAATTGCCGTTATTTATGAGCGCTAAAATCAACATGTGTTGGATAATCTCACCAGACACGCCCCAAAATGTGTTTACACAGCGCTTCTGTCTCTCCCACAGATGGCTTCTTTGATTTAAAGGTTGCTCCTCTCGCAGAGATATCAAAGGCAACAGTGTCTACTCGGCAGAATCGCTGATTTCTTCAGAAGTGAGGAGACATCCCTCTCAGATTCCCTCATTCTTAACCCCCCCTCCCACTTACGCTGACAGAACAGCAAGACTAAGCACACCAAGACATGACCAATCTGTTGACTTACTTGTCATGGAAAATGTCTTTTACCAAAGCACCCTGCTGTTCAGGGAGGGTTGGTGAGCGTTGTGTTAAATTTGGTCCAGAGTGAGCAACACCGTCTGCTGTGGGTAAATTTAGGTTCCCTGTCAAGCTCTTGTTGTCATTAGTCTCTTAAAGTCAACATGAAATAGCATTCGCAACTCACACGTCTGTAGTGTGATGTATTTCCGAGATTTACTGAGAACAAAATATGTGGGATGGGACTTCATAACAAATTCTGTTACAGTAAAAAATATCTAAAACATGCTTATTTTAGACTTGTTTTGATTTTTTGTATTAATAATATTATATTTCATATTCTGAATGTTATTATAGGCATAAAAAAAAACAATTTATGTAAAAAAAGAAAAGAAAAAAAAGTTCAGTGAGCTAGATTTTTTTAAATAATTTTTTTATGCATTTAAGATGTTTATTTTACAAAATACTAGTTTTTGGAGAATGTTTTTTGACCAAGACATGAAGGTTGAAGGTCAAGTTCATCCTCAAGAATATCTCAACATATGTCAATGTAAAAAAAAAAAAAAAAAAAAATATGACTGCACTACAGAAAAATCATTAGAAAGGCAAAATGACCAATAACAGAAGCCTAATACAATATCAACTAGTTTTTTAGCTAGTCGTAAAATGTAAAGATTGCAAAGATCTGCAAAAAAATTAAAATAAATAATAATAATATAATTTTTTACCTTTTGATTTCATGTTGATTTTAAGAGTTGTTTGTTTGACCAAGTCATACGACAGACAAATAAACATCAATGGGATAATTTGAAGAAACCTGCCTTTATGGGGATATGAAGTTGAAAGAGATACGCTTGCTTTCAATGGCAGCAGGGATTCTTGTAATGAGGTGGAAGCACTGCAGGGTTTATAGGGTGAGGATCAGGTCATGCGTTTAGTCTTGACCCTCAACCCGATCCTTTGGTGGCTTGGAAAAGGCTAAGAGGTTTGTTTTTAACTAGGAAATAAGAAAAGAGGGACAGGACTCACCAGACTGAAAAATGCAAGCAACGTCTCTCACAGCTCTTGTGATCAGGGAGAAATGCCGAAAGAGCGGGTAGCACAAAGTCCTCCTGCCGAAAGACACCAGCACATCTTGTACCGAGTGATACGTCTGTAACACACACACACACACACACAAGAGGTCTGTAAATTGCTCCAGATCTGTCTAGGCATATTACATCAATCATTTCCTAACTCCACTGGTAATTACAGCAAATTGCTCTAATTATTCCCAACGACTTCTCATTTTATTAGCAGGGTAAATAGTAGGTCAACTTTTAAACACCTTGGCAAGCGGCGTTCTTAATTGTAGACAGTGTTTAATCGCTTGCCTCAGAGTTCTCCGTAGTCTAAGCATCAACAGACAAGTGCTTTGGGGGGGAAACATGTCTTTATTCTCTCTCTTTCTCTCTTTTCTCTTTGCGTTTTCCAGCCTCCCACTCTCCCTCCCCTCCGCTATTCTCTCAGCAGCTTGTTAAGAATGCACCCGGAGCCATTCTAGCATGTCATCATAGCTCATGCACTCCCCTAGGCTATTAAACACTGGTGTAAATAAGCCTGCTGAGGAAGAGGGGGGGCTCAAGGAGCACTGGCTTTACAGTGGTTAGGCAAAACACAGGGTGGAGAGGAAGAGAAATGAAGGAGATTGAGAGAGAAAGAGAGGGGGAGACAATGATAGGGTGTTGAGAAACTACATTAGCATTTCCTGAAGGAAATACCAGTGCTTGCAAGATAGCTGAAGAATAGCACTGAAGTTTTAGGACGCTTCAGTTTCAGGCCATTGTTCTGTGTAAATGAAATGCCTCAGAGGCAGTGTCTGGACTTCTACTGGCTGTGCATACGAATCGTCACATAATGCAACACGCTGTTTGTAGCAGTAGGTGGCTTTAAATGTTTTAGTAGATGCATGAATGAAAAGACCAATCACAAGTTAGTATGCACATAACTGCAAGACAATCATAATTTGTTATACAAATATTTGAATGATGTTCTGTCATCATTTACTCATCCCATTTCATACAAGAGAACCCGAATGAATCATTCAGCATGATTTTGTGAACTGGATGAAACAATTCATTGAAAAGAAAAATAAATTAAAATAAATAAATGCCAGCGTGCTAAAAAATTATTAATAAATATAATGATAAACAATAAAAAAAAATATTTATATAAAGAAATTTCAACACATTGACCAAAATGAAACATATTACATTGACCAAAATGAAACTAGTGGCAAGAACCAAAGAGCCAGATAAATCCAACTTGTCAACAAATAATTCAACCTGGTTTTGTGCACCAGATCAACCAATTCATTGAAAAGTCTCAAAATTGGCTGCTTTTCATGAACTCTCAAGGAGAACTCTCAAAGAGAACTGTCAAGAGTGTTGAGTGAATAACATGGACAGAATGGTCTGTTCCTCACACAAACCTTTCATATGATTTCAAATGGCTTTTATAGGTCATATAGACTGCTTTGTTAAAAAAAAATAAACATAAAAGCACATTGCAAACATAAGCATACAGTCTGCACTTGAAGACATTCAGGCAGAATAAATTGCAGAAGTTTAACACGAGTGTTAATTTTGACAGCAAATTATGATTTAGTTTAAATCATATTTTAGTCATCTGAATTGTTTTAGTTTTAGTCTAATTTTGGTTGACTAAATATAAGATTTTAGTCAACTAAATCTACAGTCGATATAGTCGACTAAATTCTAATGGGTTTAGTTCAATTGTAATGCATCAACTAAGCTTTTCTCTAAAATTTCCAAACTCATTACATACTCCTGGAGAAAACATCTATTAACCTGTTAATATGAAAGATAATAAGGTTTGAACATGCAATACAGACACAGATTTAACTGCTCTGACACATATAACATGTCTTTATCTTAAAATTAAATAAAACCACTTCTCATAAAGAAACAACAAGGTCTTTTTAATCAATGATATACATTCTTTACAACAACATTCTTCATTCTTTCAAGCAGACATATATATTTGTATAAATAAATATAGATGAATCCATATTAAAGTTATTCAGTCAAGAATTTTTTCTTTTGTTATTTGATTAACATTAATGACGGACAGCAGCAGGTTTAGACTGCTGTCACTTTAAGGCCGACTGCACGGATTCAATACATAATCCGATTATGTCACTTAAGACATAACCAACTGCGTTGAAGTGAATACTCACAAAATTATGCCAAAATGTCAGTTTTGGCGTGCATTTGTCCGTTCAAGCGTGGGAAGATGCGAAAGATAGCTCAGTTGAGTAGGCTACTACTCGTGCACTGACGTCTGCGAGGCGGCTTTCTGTGAGCGCACCCAAAAGCGCACTGAATTGAGCTCTCTTTCGCGTCGTCACGCTTTTTCAGATTATTCCATATGTCTGCTCTTCTCTTTCTCCCACACGTTTACATTTTTGAACGTTCAATGAGACATGCAGCAAGTGTATGCCAACTTAGGTCCCGGCATGTAGATCAGCACGTTACAATTCAAATGTGTGCATCCACCGATTTGGGAACTGATGTCCTACGTGGACATCAGTTCCCAAATTGTCCCTCCCTAACATTTCAGTCTCGTTTTTATCCGTTGACGAAAATGTTAATAGATTTTTGTCATAGTATTTGTCATTCAAAACTGGTTATTTAGTTATCGTCTCATTTTTTGTCAGTGAAAAAATGTCGTTGACGAAACGAAATTAACACTGTTTAATACTTCAGAGGTCAGAGGTTTGGGAAAAAACCCTAACACGAATGTTTAAGGAAGATCAATATAGAGCTGCCTTGCAAGCACTAAAAAGGAAAGAGTGAAAGAGGAAATGAGGGGGCAGAGGGTTTGTGTTGTTTTGTGTGTGTGTGAGAGCAGGCAGTTGGAGGATGTCATTACCACCCTTCCATTATCAGTATTGCAGCGGAGTGCTGGCTCTCAGCGCGCTGAGCTGGGAGAGGTGTCGGGTTACTCGTCCTCATTGTCACACTCACTGTGGAAATGTGGGGGATTAGGGACTGCTGCCGCCCCAGGAGTCAGGATACGCGTACACACACGCACACAAAGCTTAGAGCTCTGCTAAACACACGCAAGCAGTTTAAGGTTAAATTTGTCCCTCGCTTTGGTGTCCACTTTGGAACAGGATGTATTATGCTGATGATGAAAATGTAAATGCCTGTCTGCTACATTTCACTATACACACATGCAAGTTTATGCAAATCAGGGATAAGCAGGAGTAATCGAGTACTCGGTGGAGACGCCAATGATCAATCATTGTTTTTCTACTTTAAAATATTAATTTTTCAATTCCTGCAGTACCTTATAGCCCAGAATGCACATCAGATGTTGTGTGATTGGAAATTTCTTGTTGCGTTACACATTTTAGACCAATTAATTGGTGCTGGAAACTTTTTTTTTTTGCATCTGGGTAGGACAAGTGTTAAGAACATGCCTTTAAAGATGGCTGAGCTTAGAGATGGACAGTGGTATAATCTGCATGTATTTTAATATCAGCAGTGGTTCACAACCAGAATGCTGCATACCCTTATCTATCTTAAGCTTCTGTTCAGGTAAAATTTGCGATGTTAAGCACAAGTAACATCATACAAAGTGTGCAATACTGTCTAGAGCTGCATCCATGAACACTCCATTTATCATTCCTCATATAACAAACCAGTGTTCTTTTAATATTATTTATTTACTATATAGCATTTATGAATATTTTGAATTCATTTATCTTTTCTTTTTTAGTTTAATTTTCAATAATGTTATGTGCTTCTGATTTTTTTTTAGTATTTGTTTTTTTTATTTCCGTCTAATCTTCAGTTTTAGTCATTTTAGTACTTCAACTGATTTCCTCCTAGTGTTGAGAATTTATTCCATTCCATACCAAAAATTATTTTTAATTTACAATAACGCTGTTTAGTGAATGTTGAAAACTGTGGAGGGAATAGTGAAATGAAGGAACAAGTCAGCAGTATCTTCATGAATGTGTAAAATCTGCTGCTTATGTTCTCTCATACACCTTGAGTTCAGCATGACGGACATGAGCAGAGGCAAAGTGTCCATGTTTTTCGACCTTTCTTTCCACACTAACAGCTACTCTCACTTGTAGTATGAGAAAGTCTCTTGGCATTGTGCTGATGCTTACAATATTACTATAGCAACTGAAGTAGATGCACAGGATATTGACTACATTGTTTGAACAAACAGATCAGATTTAATCACTTGCAAAATGGCAGAGCAGATGTTGAGTCCTAAAGCTCAGCTTTGAACAAAGCCAGAGTCTCTACATATGTGAACCCTGTAAGTTAAAATCTTGTTAAAGGTCACTCGCTCATTCATTTGTTTGTTCGCGCCTTCAAGGCCATGTCGTGTTTTGTTATGCTGCTAAATGTATGACATACCTCCAGCCAGCTGAGAGTACCGCTTAGCTTCCTGATGGTCCAGGCTGACTCTACCTGGAAATCACAACAGCATTGATCAATATTGCCATCAACGATCCTACACTCCATACAAAACTGAACTATACTGATGTCAGACACTATACACGGCAGACTATATAAAGCATGTCAAATGTTGGCGTAAAGCTGCTGTCACACTAGACTTTAAGCATGCCAAAATTTCTACAGACACTGCAACAGTCGTAGTATGATGCCACACTCTTTAAAAAAAATCTAATTCAGCATATAATAAATGAACAAATGTAAAATATGTAATATACTCTACTTTATTGCAATGCTACATTTCTGCAGATTTAAAGTTTGCATTCTTTTATTTCAGCTAAGAGGTTACTCAGATCATCAGATCAGATAAAGATCAAATGAAATTGAAGGGCAGAGTTCACCAAACTTGAACTTTGGAACACACTCAAATTCACATTAGCGTATGTTTTATTGTCTTCTGTATTCGCATTCCTATGAATGGAAGTCAATGAAAGGAAAAGTGCAGTGTGACCGTCCCTTAACTATGACTAGCAATTAACCAATATTAAAGTTTAATATTACATAAATTGTGTTATTAAGTAAATGCTACAATCTTGACCATTGCTCAAAATACACTGACATGTATTTCACAGTATTACTGATTTTACTGTATTTTTTGTAGCATTTTATTTTACAGTCCTGTTCCCCATGTGCATACTATGTACATATTATAGTAATTGCAATAACTGGGTAATAACTATGTACTAACCCTGAACCTACCCCTAAACTTAACCCATGTAGTTACCTTATATTACCAAGTACTTTCTTAGGTAAGCACGTTCTGTTAAAAAAATTAAAATAAAAAGTATTTTTGATGCAGAGAGCATAAAAGACTTCTTACCACCCCCAAACGTATGAACGGTAGAGTACACAAAATAGTATAAACTTTCAGCCATTTATCGGTTATCAGCCATAAAATAACTATAATTAGTTGCTTATTGATATCGGCCAGAATATTGATATTGCGCATTCCTATTTTGACACTTTTCATTAAGTCAACAGTGATGAAAGAACAGGAATTAAGCAAAAGATGGGAAATGTTGCTGGATTCAAACTCCTGTCACTCACATGATCACCACGGCTCACTGAGCACAAGCGCTAACCACAAAGACACAGCTCCAATGCTACATTTATCACTTTAGACAAGAGAATGTTTTAAGAAGGTATGATATGTCCTCTAGCTATTATGATTGAATGGAAGCCCAGATTTCTACTGTACATTTAACATATGTTGAAAGCTTGGGAGTCAATCCAACAGACCTCTTCAAAAAACGAAGTCCTTGCAACATTCTATTACTTTCGGAAACTGTGTTTCAAAACACAACCACCAATTTTATATTATTCATATTTATTTTTACAATTACTACCATGTGCAGTGGCCTCCAAAGAGACTATCTGGAAAACATTATAGGAATGTATAAACTTCCTGGAGCTTTAGTGCATGTGAAAATGCCAGGACCTGCACGCCAAACCCACTTACTAGCCGAGAGAGTCATCTGTGGCATTCAAGCGTGCACTTACATTGTGCTCTCCCTCTGTAGTGCGCACATCATAGACATACGCCAGAATGATGTCCACCAAACCCAGCCAGACGTGGAAGCGCGCTTTCTTATCCAGTAAGTACGAACGGTTTGTGAATTTCCTCATCTGATCCTTTTCCTCTTCTGTGAAAGTTATTGCTGAAAGCAAAGAGAGAAAAAGAGAGACATTCAGTGTTGTTTATCAAGTTATCTCAGGGAAGTACAATCAAAGTCAATCTCTGACAAATTCTCCCAGAAAAACAAGTTTAAACGCAGGGCTCCAGCAGTGAATGATGGATGCCTCTGCTCCGCGGAGAGCTTTAAGACACAAAAGCATGTTCGCCGCAATTATTTTTAAATCAGAGTCGGAGACGAGGCTTTTGAAGCATTGTGAAGTTACAGCACGGGAAGAGCAAAGTTACACAGCTTGATTGATGCCCTAAACTGACTTGATACTGCACCAGGGAGGAAGGAGTCGAAGGCAGGGCAGCGAGAGAGAGAGGGAGAGAGCAAGTCAGCACTTTAGTAGCAGCTGAAAGTGATCCCTCTCCTTGGCTTCAGTGCTGCCCCTGATAGAGCCCCTCGTGTGCATGCTTGCATGTCCATATAGACACACACACTTTAAGCCAGAGCTGGCAAAAGTCGAGCTCTGGCTCTGTTGGGATCTGCTGGATTCCAGCGACATGACGACTGAACAGCTCCCCCATTTTCTTTCTCTCTGTCTACCTGAATTACCCTCTAACACAGCTGCCTCCGCCTGGCAGAAAACACGGACTCCTGTGAGACCAAAACCAGGAGCTGAGGAGGGAGTTCAGCTCCACCCTAGCTCTTGTCTTCGCCTTATATTAAACTGATTCTGTCCCCAACTACTCATTGACAGATTCAGGGGGTTTTCTTCTTTTTTTGTGTATAACACTAACTCTTGATAGAGCACACAAAGTGAAAATATTGCCTCATTTCATAGCTGGCCTATTGACAATACATCTGAGAACCAATTAGCTGTGCAGTTTCTTCACCACATTTCTTCCTCCTCATTTTTCTATGACATTAAGTAAATTGCATTTCCGGCTGTATGCAAACAAAGTAGTTCTCATATACTGTGAATGTTCCAGATTTGAACATATGTAATTATGAATATTGGCTTGTTCCTCACAAAGCAATTCAGAAGACTTACACGTATAGTATTTAGGAAAATAACATGATTTCTGGTCACCATCCACTTTAGTTGTATCAAAAGGAGCAACCTGGACATTCTCACTTTTTCACAGTAACATAAAACATAAACAGTCTTCTGTTTAAGAGTGAGTAAATAATGACAAAAATGTCCTTTTTTGAGTGTACTTGCACATTTCTAATGTACAAATACTGGACATGTCTTTGAGGCAATAACAGTCTTCTTTTGTGGAATTCTTTATGGTTTATCCTTCACTTAAATGGTAAAATCTGCAAAAACAACATCTGACACCACACAGGTGCCCAGATCACTAACACAAACAGCTAGTGGAGTGAAATGGGGAGCTAAGTAATGAAGTGCATACATGCATACACATACGGCGAGGCTGTTATCTCCATTGGGACCTAGAGTGTGAAGTTACCCGATACACATGGGAAAGCAAGTACACCACCACATATACACACACACACACAAAATAAGGGGAGAAAGTAGACACAAGGACAAAAAATCAGAACCAGAAATCTTGAATTAGAATCTCAGGCAGTTAACGAAACATTATGCAGGAAAGTTTCTCACCATTAAGATAAAGAGGCACAGAAAGTCTATTACTATTCCATGACATTTTTGAACTGCATAGAATGTACATAGTCTGTCAAGAACATGTTTGAGTTTCTTTCTTCCAGCAACATATCATGTCTGGGAGTAATTAAACATGGCCAGAGGTCAGATTGTTCAACAGCAGATTTGACATTTTCTTCCACAGTTTTGGAGCAACATGATGGTGGGTAGATGGCAGAATTTTTAGATATAAAAGCAAATGATCCACAGAAGGTGCAATTTGATTGGACTGACCAAATTTAGCCATGTGGCAGTAATCAAAGATACAGGGCACATTGAATAAGACGCTTGTGTATTGACTAGTCATAAATCATGTGACTTAAGCGGTGACAGCAGGAGGAAAACTCTTCAGTCCACAAATTCTGGTAACTTGTGACGGCCAAATACAGGCTCTCAGATTGCTGTCGCTCCATCGTGTGATTTACAATACATTACAATACATTGTGTGCCATTGAGTTGGTTAACGAATGTGCTTAGTCATGAAAAGATATTACAGTTCAACAATCAGTCCCTCCAGAAAAACGCGATTATGCGATCGCTGAATTCAATGCAAAATCAGCCAAAGTCCGCATATTTATGCGGGGGTCGCATTTTTTCAAATACTCCGCAATTTCGCCGCATAAATTGCTGATTTCCGCGCAAAATATGCGGGGCTTGCATGATTTCATAATCCCCGCATTTTCGTCGCAAAAAAAGTCACATATCTTAGCAGAAAGTTGGAAAATGTTGCGTTTGCTTCACACAAGAGCAGCCACTTCCCCCTGTTGCCATGGGAACGTTATGAAGTGAAGTACCGTAATTACGCGACGTGAACATCATTGAAAAGCTGTAAAACAGGAGCACACTTTATTTTAAAATATTTCATTTATTCATTTTTACTGAAGTTGTAGCATATTCCTCTAGTAAAGCTACAGAACTTGTTTGACTCAGCAATGTTTTGTAAGTTTGATGTGTTGTTTATTAAGGTCTTGTAACGTGTTGTGTCGGTAAGAAAAATAGGGATAGCTCACAGCTGAAGTTATTGCAGAGGCCAGACAGACTCACGGAGGCGATTGGCATCTCACAACTCGCACTTTATTCCCAAATCGAACTCGTAACTGTCTGTCACACGTTCTACCGTCCACGTCGTTACTTAATAAACAAAATAAGATAAAAGAAGTAGCATCAAACAGAAATTACCCGCACACATGGGGTGTTCGAGGCGCATGGCACATACAATATAATACTGCAGACAGTTAGACAGGGAGCGCGCAGCTCTTAAAGGGGCCACACCTTATTTCCACTCGATACAGTCTGAAATAAAACAAGATGAGAAATTAAATATTTCCAGCACTTTCTGTGATGTAGTATGTTTGCTTATCATAGGATGTAATAAGAAAGGACTCTTTACATTAAGGTAGTAGCCTAGTGAGAACAGGGTGTTGGGGGGATCACTTTTCCCCCCTCTTTTTCATCAAACCGCAGTTTTTACAACTTCCCGCAATTTTTGCAAGTTTCCGCAATTTTTGCAAGTTCCCGCAATTTTTGCAAGTTCCCGCAATTTTTGCAAGTTCCCGCAATTTTTGCAAGTTCCCGCAATTTCATCGCAAAAAATTGCATAAATATCCCGCATATTCCATCGCATTTTTAAAGAAAACGGGCCGCGTAATCAAGGATTTTTGCCCGCAACAATCACAAAAAAACTCCGCGTTTTTCTGGAAGGACTGTTCAATACTACACACTCTGGATTATTTTTAAGCAAAATATAATTGATTCAGTTTGTTTGATTTTTGGGTGAAATATGACCCAGACCTGTTCTTGACTGGTGAGATTCCGTGAGATTTAACCAATGACCTCAAACCATTACAAAGAAAAAAAGCCAACCTGTTTCTCATATAAGCTAATAAGCTAAAAATGAACCAGCTCACCCTAATACCTAAAAAGCAAAAAGCCTAATTACCTTTAATGGCTTAATGAGCCACATCCAGTCAGGAAAAAACTTAGAAAACAGCGAGGAGAAGATATTTTGGCAGCGATTTGCCCACTTCAGTCAAGATGTTCAGGACGGTCTGTCCAAGCAATTAGTACCAATTAATCTGCCCCATGCATCCAGCATACTGATGAGAACACTGAAAAATGAAGGTGTATAGAAGCATCTAAGTCCTAAGTAGCTAGAAAGTAACAATGTTACTTGATTGATTGACAGCAGAGACTGACAGCTTTGGAAAACATATCTTGAAATATCTCCATCTCTCTGTTTAATCCCTCCTCATCATCTTCTTCTGTGATAGGACCAGCTGTATAACCCCTCCCCCACACCACACCAACATATGCTTGCAGCTCAGAGTAATTTCCTCATTCTGTAAACGGGCACTAAGGAATTAGCACAGGGCTCTAGTGATGAACGTGCTGGTGTGGGACACATTCACTTCTCGGCTGTCCATGTCTGTGCCGCTTTATCACACACACGTCAATAATCCATGCAACTTTAAACGTGCCAGATTTCAGTATTTGAAAAATTAAAACAGCTGTGCCAAAAAAGAAAAACACAGACAAAACGATTGATAGAAAGAAAGATAGATGGATAGATGGAAAGACAATAGAATGATAGAATGACTAATAGAACGACAGAAAATACTGATATATAGACAGAATAATAGAACAATAGATATAACTAACAAATGAATGATAGATAGATAGATGATAGGTAGATAGAAAGACAGACAGATAGGTAGATAAGATGAAAAAGATGGAAAGAAAGGGATAGACAGTCAGACAGACAGATAGAACTATAGACAGATATATCCATATATCTATCTATAGTTCTATCTATAGTTCTGTCTATGGTTCTAAGGAAAGATGAAGAAGAAAAAAGAGAAAGAAAGAACAAATGGGAAAGAGCACATTTCTTTGTGGGCACAAAAGTGGGCTGAGAGGTAGTTTGTGCCTCGTTGAATAAACTAACTCAGTGACTCACACACAGCCTCATCAATATGACTCAGCAGTTATGAAACAACGACAAAAATACACAAAGCTGGGGACACACTAATCAAAAAAAAGAGTAAAAGAATGAGTGCTAAAACAACGCTCCAAATAGTTTCCAATCTCCTCCTATATGCAACGTGTGAACACGACGCTGTCGCTAGTTGTCTCTTACAAAATGAATGATCAGTTTTCAGCAAAGGTGCGCCACCTGCTGGTAGGAACTAGAAACTGCACTTCTGGAAATACATTGTAAACTTGGCGACCTCAACTTAACCCGACCCAATTCTCCATACAGACCCACTGAGAGACACACAGGACAAAGCAGTAATTATGCACAGAATGTTTAAATACATTTAGAGAGTATAACTGAGGAGGTAAATGTCTCACAGGTGTCAGAGTTTGCTGAAGAGTCGGGGCTCAGTTCTCTCCACCACGGTTTAAACTTCAGCAGGTTTCTGATCTCCTCCTCGTCCTCATACAAATTGACCCTGCATCAATCAAACAGACCTGTCGATCAATCAAACTGACTCCCAAAACAAATTGGGTCAAGAAACAAAGTTCTGAATGAGTGGATGTTCTGTTGTGTGTGAGATGTTGAATGAAATGTTTTAAATATTCATGTCATTGTACTATTTTTTAGTTTTGACAGATTTGATGACATTCAACACAGGAACGGGGAATGGTGGACTCACATATAATGGTCAGTACAAAACATTGAAGTCTCTGCATCTAGTCGATTGCGTCTTCTGAGCTCAGGAGCGGTGTTGTCGGGATCCTTCACGTCGATCACCTCATTCAGCTCCTCCTGATTGGCAAAACAATGGGTTGTCCACAAAAACTCCAGGTCATTTATTTTTCTTTTTTTCTTTCTATTTATCAAAAGATTAAAAAAAGACTATCTACAGTACCATCAAGGACAAACGTGCTTACTTGCAGTCTAGTGAAGACTCCAGACCTGAGGTTTCCAAAGCCATACTTGTGGTATTCTTTCAGCGTCTCCGCTGAGGTTTCGGTGTACATCTCCTGTTCTATCTGCCAATCAAACTCCTCCTCTTCATCATCCTCCTCACATCCTCCACCACAGGCCTCTGAGAGAACACCTTCAGAGGGCGTTCAGAGAATACCGAATGAGACGAAATTGAAATGAAAAGAAATGCCACAAGAAGACGATCAGCTTTTCATACCCAAGTGAAAATGAAACCTCACCTGTGTCCTCCACCAGGGGTTTGGCTGATCTTGAGCCTTTAGGAGCCAGGAGACTGGTGAGCATCTCCAAACCCTCAAAGTGCTGTCCGGCCGCCTCTTTAGGGACATGCAGCGTGAAGAGACCTGATACATACATACTTAAAGTTGCTATGCAATTGAAGTAGAGACAGATCTTTTTTTTTCTGTATTGTGACGTACATTCAAGGCCGACCTGAATGTAAACATGCATTCGATTGTAAGAAAAGGGTTCAAGAGAAGTAAATGATTGGAGAAGTCTGGTATATGTCACCAGAGAGAAGTCTGTTGTTTCACTGGAACATTGAGAGATGATATATATTTTAAATATGATATTTTAATTAAAAATCACGAGGTAAAAAAATAAATAAAAAAATAGATCACTTAATTTCTCTATCCAATCACCATTGAATCAAGTCCCCGGCCTAATTTTTTTTTCTTCTTTCTCAATAATTTGTTTCACTTGGATGTATGTCTCAATACAGAAGAGATGTGTCATCATTTCAGTTACATTTAAACTTTTAAAGCGACTGTTCACCCAAAAAATTTGTGTTCAACTTTCTTCTGTTGAACACAAACTAAGATATTCTTTTCGTCCATAAAATAAAAGTCAAGGGGTCCAAAACAATATTTTTCAAAATATTTGTGTTCTACATAAGAAGTCTTGTGAACACTCTCTCTGACTTCCATTGGTGGATCAAACAGATAGTCCCGCCCCAAATTTATGCCATTGGTTAACACTGTTGCCGTGTAGGGCTGGTCGGGATTCTTAAACAAACAGAGCAATGAAAACTACATGTGGCTTCCTTGTCTCTACTTATTAAGCTGGGACAGGAAAAAATTATTTTAAATTGAAAAAATCCACACATCATCATTAAAATGACAATAATTGCCTTGATTGTAGTCCTTAAAAATGTGTAAATGACTTATAATTTCTAATGTAAACATAGAAAGCAATTAGTATCTGATAGGAGACTATTCAATTATTCACTGGCTGTCGATCAAAGAGGACGCGCTGAAATGAGGCCAATGAGATGTCAAGCAGAAGATCCCGTGGCCATTAGGTATAATTAAAAGCGCTAATAGGCAGCTCATTAAAAGAGCTAATAGGCAGCTCATTAAAAGACATGTCGGGACTACGGCAAATCGGTCAGACACAATCACAGCGCTGCTTCTGCTGTTTCTTCCTGAATTAAAGATTGATAAGTACCACACACGAGAGAGAGAGAGAGAGAGAGAGAGCAAGAGTATAATCAAAGTGAAGGTGTATCCCAATAAAGAAAGAGATCGTTATGATGCTGACGGCTCAACCGGCTGATTAAATGTGAGAGTTTTGTGCTATAATGAAGTCTATCTTCAGAAAGAAAGACCACGAGAGAGAGAGAGATTTCTAAACTTGTGTTTATTACTACATTACTGGAACATTTTCTCTAATCCGTGCTGAGGAAAAAACAACAACAACGGTTGCTGGACTTAGTTGTTCTCCCAGCTAGCTGCCTAGCTAAATCAGATTAAAACAAAAAAAAGCTGGGCCAGGTTGGAAAGCCATCTTAAACCATCTAAGACCAACTAGCTTATACTGGTAACATGGATTTCTTCTTTCTCTGCTTAAAGGGATAGTTCACCCAAAAATGAAAATCATTTACTCACTCTCATGTTGTTCCAAACCTGTATGTCATTCTGTTTTTCTCTGGAACATAAAGTAAGATATTTTGAGAAATGGCCCTAGTGTTTTTTTGTCCATACAATGGAAGTCAATGGTGACCAAACAGTTTGGTTACCAACATTCTTCAAAATATCATCTTCTGTGTTTTTACCGAATAAAGAGAGTCAGGTTTGGAACAACATGAGGGTGAGTAAATGGCAGATTTTTCATTATCCATTTTTATTTGTATTATTTACTTAAAAGATTTTTATTATTTACTAACTACAAAAAGAGAGGACACGAAATTATGAGAGGGACAACTCCAAACCCTTGTCTTCCACATGAGCATGATATCTGGAGTATGTGCACTAATCACTATCCCACCAGACTGGTTTTCGATCTTTGACTTTGTGTTTTCTTATGGAAACAGGAAATTGTGGAAATTGCTAAATTATAGGGGTAAAAAACGCAGAGGGATTATATTCCACACATTATGTGCCAAACGGTTACAATCTCAAAATCTGTGTCTGACATCTTGCAATAAACAACATATAATTTTAGACCCTAATGGAACATTAAAATGGTGTTATTTTAAAATGACAATAATTGCTTTGACTGTAGTCCTTACAGATTTGTGAATGATTTATAATTACTTGTTACTCTGTGTAAACACAGAAAGCAATTAGACGTTCTTTATGATAGACTTCTGCTAAATTGTTCACTGGCTGTCGATCAAAGAAGACACAATCCTGTGGCTATTACTTAGCAACTGGAAATATTCATGCTATTTGAATTTTGAAGAGCAGGTAGACAGTTTGAAATGTTGCGAAAATTGTAAAATCAAAGGGGTGTATAAAAAAAAACAACAACAACCTATCATTCAATTCCATGGGAAATGTAAGAAAAAGAAAATTCTTGACAGTCAAGTAACAATGTGATGCCGTAAATTCCTTAATATTTCATCTTTTAAGTTTTAATTTGATTTTTTAAAAAGATACATTTTAGAATTTATTTCCACAGGACAGCAGAGAGCCTCTTTTGAAGACAATCCAGAACTTGAATCAGGTCGCCCTGAAATTTTAATTCCTGTGAGTTTTGTATACTGTATCCTGTATGTGTGATTTTTCCCCCGAGTGCAAACCCCGCCCTGCAGCCGATTATAAAGATTATTGTTCCAAATAATTATGATGAATAGTGCTTTTGTCTCGTATGTAAAAGTTTAGAAGAAAATTTTTTTGTTTGTGCTGCTGCTGACCCAGAGAAAGCAGTTATCATGTATTAGTTGACACAGCTTCACAAGCAGTGGTCTTTTCAACCACACAGTATCATTATTTTGCGTGTTACAAATATTTGCATTATCACAGAAGTACTGGGAAGTTTATACTTCGGATAAAAACACTGCGTTCTACGGAAGCACCTTTTGAAAGTAACTTGGCTGGCACTTCAAATAACGATTGTATCAATTACATAGTTATGCCACCAGGTGGCGACAAGTGACTGTTAAAAATGTATTTGTCATTGAATTATTAATTCAAAAGATTCATTCAAAAGCGCTGATTCATCCAGTAATGAAACAAGTGAAGTATTTCATTGAGTCATTGAATCCTTCATTCAAACAGTTTTTTTAAAAGCAATTCATTCGGATTAATTGAACATTTTAAATAGACTGCAGCAATTAACATTTTGTCAGAAGCTCTTGCAAATTTCATGTTATTTAGTTTAGTTGTCTGTTAAGAATCATGGGAGAATCGTGATCTCTGTATAAAAAAAAAAAAACGTGATTCTTAATTCATCCAGACTCGTGTAGAAAGGCCAGGACACACCAAGCCGGGCTGTTTTTGAGTGTCGGTCAGCTTTATTTTTCCGGGCAGTTCTGCACCGTTGGCCCTAGCCGGACACTTTTTTGGGCCGTTTCAGCATCTTGAATCGCCGTCGGTGAGAGAGAGAATTCTGATTGGTTGTTCAGCTCAGCAAACGAGTCAGTGCACGAGAATAAAAGCGAAAGTGATTAAAGCGAGCAAAGATGTCAAGACGGTACAGACAGAAGGCTGTTATAATTTTACATCATCTTACCCGAGCATTCAAATGCATTAATATTTTCATAATGTGACGGCCTGCATACTTGTTGGTGTTATGTCTGTGTTTCAGTGGGGCGGGGCTTCAATCCTGAGCGCGGATGGAGGACACCTGCGGTGGGAGTTTCTCTTCCTGATAAAAGCTTCCGGCTCCCTGCCTTCAGGAGGAACGAGCGAGGGGTTCTCCCTCCTGCGTGCTTTTCCCTTTACATGTTTTGTTTTGTTGCCGGCATTTTGTGTTTAATTGTGTTTTTTGTTTGGTAAATAAATTGGTCATCTCTTGATTGAGGTTTTGCGTCCCGCTTCTTTGTCACAACCTCTGAGCCGGGCTGTGACAATAATAACATTATTGGAATGAAGAAAGTGATTGATATTCGAAATGGTAAGCAAGCGCTGCTGTTTACGGTTTGTATATCTGCAGTCCTAGTTTCGGTTTCCCCTTTTGAATAACCAAAATAGACTATTGATTGATGATACCCTCTGATATAGACAGATTCAGAACGCACGTGATAGCTGACAGTCTCCTTTAGTCCTTTTGGTGTGTTCAAGTGCAGCTTTTTGCCAAAGTGCAGCCGACGAGAGGCGACAACAGTGTCAGCTTTCACTGCCGCTAGTTCTTTGACATCGGCTTGGTGTGTCCTGAGCTGTGGGACCTTTCTCTAAAGGTGCTTCTGCTGAAGCTCGTGAGGTATTGAGTGGCAAACAAAAGCAGCGCAGGTTTTCTTAGACTAGACCGTGCCTAAAGAGTGATTGTTACCTTTATCGACATCGAATGAAGCTTTTTCCCGGCCATCTTCTACTATTCTCCCAGGCAGAGTCAACCTTCAGGGTAGATGATTACACAAGATTCATTAATAACAATACAAATAATATAAAAAACAATTGTATGTCCATAATTGCATAATAATATACACACGTACACATTTATCTTCAATACGCATTTGCCACCAAAAACCACATGCATATGTTCCTGCTTATAATCTAACTTAAATACAAGTGGCATCTACAAATTATTCCAGGCATGTTATCAGAACTTGCAATGGAATTTATTTTAGTGTGGATGAGGTGTCCAAATGCTTTTTTGGGGTCTCTGTCTAGGTAAAAAGCTTTGTAAACATCCTATATTAAGTATTTTCCAGTGTTTTAGCATAACAGAATATCAATCATGGAGTTTGCAGGTGAGTCACCTGAGAAAGTATGGCTTGGCATAGAACTTCAAATCTTCTTCCTGGATGTAGATGTCAAACTCAGATGTTCTGGTGTAGGGTACACGAATAATCAGCGTAAGGAAATTAGCATCTTGGCTCAGTTCAAACGCCGGTGTTATCATGATTACACACAGCAATGGACTGCAGAAACAAGACAGAAAAATGTAGACAGATTAGAAAAATTATTATTCAGACATTTTAAAATAATTGGCAGAGAGGGAAACCACTAAAGGAATGCTAATGAAATTGTATTATAATTTGAAACCAATCCTAATGGGATTAAACAAAATACTCTATCAATCAAAAATGTTCAGATTTTCTTCAGAATTTATTTTGGTTTCATTTCTGATTCAGCATTAAAAAGGTAGAATATAATTTAATATATGTACAACACAATCCTATTAGAATTAAACAAGGATCATCTAATAATCAAATAATATCTTACTTAAAAAATCCAGGAAATGTCTATTTTCTTATTCATATTTTAAGAGCACAATTTTATCCAGTAGAATATTATTCGATTTAACATTAAAATTTCCTACAAGATCATTTACCTTACAGTTTGGTAATCGATAGTATCGTGTCATGTTGGCAAAATTCCACTTAACAACTGATAAATTAGCAAAATTACAGTTAAAACGTAGGTTTACTTGGACAGTGTGCACAACTCTAAAGGTTGCTTCTAAACAAGAGAATCAACTACCTGGCACGGTGATATGAACTAAAGATACTTCAGTCTACTCCACTCACTATCTGACATGCAAAGGAAAGAATAGGGCAGCTTACAACTCCACCTTGTGGCTATTTGATTTGAACTCAATGAGACATAAAACAACACATTTGCCAACTAGTACATTATAAAGATTGGATGTGATTAGGTTTAAAATTAAACTTTATTCTATTTCAATTTTATACAACACTGTTATTCACCAGTTAAGATACAGTCTGATAATATTGAGGACTAAAATGAAAACAAAAAACATCGATATGTCATGCAAGTAACCTACGTCGTTAAACTGATTTGATGCACACCTTAGAAAACAAACCCAAAATAATAAATGAAATGATATCTAAAGCCCACTGCAGGTAAACAGCTGTCAAAAGTCTGCCTGTGTTGTTTGTGCATGGCATGCAATGTTTGCCATCATAAAGAAGCAGACATGACACGCTCCATGCACTTTTAGACTTTAACGTTCTCAAATGGTATAGTACGATATAAATAAGGAACTGGCAAATAATATAACAAAACATACCTTCACGCCTCGCCTGAGAACACTTCCATGCGCTAAACAGCATCAGAAACACATATGCAGCACATGGTCTGCTTCAGTACTTCCTGCTTTCTCTGTTGGCCATGTTTTACCGTAATTCCACATATAAGGAGGACTTCAAACTCACTTTGACATTACACTCAATTTCTCATGGGAATACTACACAGGGTAAAGCTGATGGAATATATTGCAATGAATGTGATTTCAAATCAAATATTTATTAATCAGATTGCAAAATTGGAACAATTTATTTCAACAGATTACTTTTATTTGAGAAACTGATCAAGTTAGAAGTGTAATCCAGTTGCTTGCTATCATCATACAATAATGAACATACAATAATGTAATCTATAAAAATAACATTATTTTGTCAAAACTGTATATAACAAAAATATATAAATTATTATTAATAATAAAAGTGTTAATATCCTCCTGACAGCCAGACATGCGTATAATAATATAATATAATATAATATAATTGTGAATATGAACAAAATAGAAAAGTTATAATATCTTTTCATACAGTATGGAAGCTAGTTTCGTCACAGAAAAAAAAAATCAAATGGTTGTGACCTTTTATCTCACAATTCTGACTTTTTTTCTCGCAATTGCGAGTTTACATCTCTCAATTCTGACTTTTTGCGTGAAAAAAAGCCAGAATTGCATGATATAAACTCGCAATTGCGTGTTATAAAGTCAAAATTGCGAGATATAAAATCGCAATTGTGAGATAAAAAGTCGCAATTATCTTTTCAAATGTTTTGTTCTGTGGCAGAAACAAGCTTCCATAGTTTCTCCTACTTGCGGCAGCATTACCGTATTACATTTGCGACAGAAGTATTATAAGTGTTACGGTAAGGAGTGTAAGGTCCGCCTTCAGAGATTCATATACGTGTGTGATATCGGTGCTAAGCTGGGCAGCATCGTCTTCATCATCACAGTACAAATGAAGAAGTATGGCTGCACACTACAAATATGTCCCCATGTTTTAACCAGAGCCATGGTTGAGACATTTCCACGCGAACAGAGCACTTTTTTACCATGAGAATTTACAGCAAGATCGTGGCGATCGTGGTATGCTTTGGAGTTTTCCTACTTTTGTACTTTTTCGGGGGGAACGCTGCGGACGAGCCGCCGCTTAAAGAAGTTGCGAAAGAAAAACATTTTCCATCCTTCAATCATGTCGCGGATTTTCCACCGGCGAAAGAATCGAAACAAAACCCAGAAAAGCCGCAAAAACCACCGAGGCTAATCCGCAAAGAGCCGAAGTTGAGCAGCAGAGGAGGAGGGAATGTCATCGCAAAGACTCGGTAGGAAATTCTTCAAGTGCAACATTATTGATGATCAACAACTAGTTTGATCCGAAAGAGAATGAATAAATATGTGTTTATAGATGTTTTCAAGACGTTTTGAATAAAACGTGATATAATATCATGTAATATAGTATAATATAATGCATGTTTTTCCTTCTATTAAAGTTGATACATATACTTCCTTTCAACTCCCTTTTCTGCAAACATGATCAGTGCATTAGTTTGATTCTCAAGAGCATTTATGACCTCAGTGTAATTTGCAGTCACTGCAAATCAATGCAAATGCATGTTATAATAACAACCCATAAATCATTGGTCTTTTCCTGAATGTCAACACAGCAAATCCAACCAGACATTCTTGTCAAAAGCCTGCTGCTGTGATAATGGAGATTGTAGCAAGAATGTCTTGAGCTGCAATCTTGTTTCTTAATGTAACAAAGAGGAAACCATGCATGACACATTTTTTGCACTGTCCACATTCCAGATTACTGTGCACTAATGTCTTAAATCTTACCAGAGACCAGTGTGCATTGCATGCTGCAACGCCGAGTCTAAGAGCCCCCTGTGCGCACCACGATTATCTCAATTGTATTTTAATTATGACTTCATTAAAAAGGTCACCTTGAATGCAGTTGCCTCGTTCCCAAAGGGTCTCACTCAACGAATGAAGGACAAAATCAATGATTGGTTGTACTGAGCGAGTGCACACAGTCCCATGTGACTGGAGGATGGAGTAGTTTATTCATCAAGATGATCCGCCCTTTCTGAGACATAATTAAAAGGAGCTGTCACATTTATCTTTTAGGTTAACTGGAGATTGGTTCATTTGTGTCAGTATTTTTTTTGATAGTGTGAAATCGATGATGCAAAGGGAGGCGGACTATTATGGATGCCTTTTTGATAGTGTGAAATCAATTCTGCAGTGAGGATGAGTTTAATATTCATTGCTTGCCTTCTTTCAGCAAGCATATGTTATCACCCCTCTGACAGCTTCACATAAACGCCACTAATTGCAGTTGTGAGATATCTCAACCCTTTGACCCTCCTGTTGGGTTTCCAGCAGTGATCCGTCTTCATGTCCACACCCCTGTGACTGCTCTCTGCTGATAAACCCACAATGCAACGGGCCAATGCAGAGCGGGGAAATTAGTTAAGCAGATTCGCCGTACAAACGGGAGAGATGAGAGGTTGTGATTTGTAAAACACTCTATGCGTTTAATTCCTCGCTCCCTATCCATCTCCGCAGAGGAAGGGGGAGGGGCAAAGCCATCTCATCCCGTTTGACCTGTTGTTTTATTTAGAAGTGATTAACTCTTCCGCACGAGTTTTTCCTTTTTTAAGCGCATCCTCCAGACGTGCTTCCTGCCTCACTGTTGCAAAACAGACAAATGTGTCCCTGATGATACGTTTCATCACATTCAGGGGGCCCGAAGGGTTTGTTTTGTCCTGAGGGCTCTAACAAACACAAACTTTTTGATCCCAGACCTTTTTTTTTTTTTTTCTGTTTTATTGTTGTATTATAAAAAAAATATATCACCAAAAAGTGAAAATTCCTTCATGTATTCAACCTCATGTCACACCAAGCCTGTATTAAGATATTTTTAAGAACATAGTCTTGCAGGTATGACATTTTTGTTGGCCACAATCCGGAAATGAGTTTGCATTTCAGTACTTTCATTTCCCTCATCGTGAAGTCAATGGGTTTTTGGTTAAATGCCTAAAATAAGGTCTGTGGTTAAACAAGCGCAAGATATTTTCATGTTTCATTCTACGACATTAAACGTCATCATGCCGAACAGGAAAAGCACTCACTAGTCTACTTTCACAGCCTCGTTGTGTTTATAATGACGCTCTTGCAATCTAACTCAACCTTTTAGGGAAAATGCTTTAAAATAAAGATTTAAGCTGTCGTAAGCTTAATGGCAGTGACGTTCGTTTATAGCCTACTTTAGCTTTTTACTTTATAGCCTACTTTAGCTTTTTAGGCTTCAAAATTAATAAAATGTGTTCATTTTTGAAGATTATCATGATAAACATGTAAGAATCATAAACTGTTGGTTGCAAAGCTCATTTGCTGCAATGATGCAAAAGCCAATGGAAAACTCCTATTAAGTTTTTGTCGAGGGAACCAGGGCGATGCTAACTTCCCTGTTGGCCTATAAATATAATAAAAAAAAAAGTCATCACTGCAGCAGTCTTTTGTTGAACTGTTTAAGTTGAAACAACATTGGCTCCCCCAAAAAAGCATTTTTCAAAACATTGCTTTAAAGAACAAAGAAAGTCATGCAGGTTTGGAATGACAAGATGATGAGTAAATAATGACGGACTTTTCATTTTTGGGTGAACTATTTTTTTAGGATAATAATGAATTAAAATGACAATGAAGTAAACTTGTAGCAGTACATTAATGTTTCTTTCACACCCTTTCCCAAAATAACCTGCATTACTGGAAAGCTGGGTGCTCATAACACCTTTTCTCTGCCAGAATCACAAAACACCACTCTACCCGTTTTTGCCGCACCTAGGAATAAATGTCTACTAACTGTCAAACCAATAGCTCACTCTGTCATCTGTAATGCAGGTATAACTAGAGGCAACTGCTGCATGGCAGCTACATTATATAAAGCCATAAACATGTCATGGAGGAAGACTAAGAGCCCTCCGTTTGTGTGTGTGCGTCTCTCTCTCTCTCTCTCTCTCTCTCTCTCTCTCTATAGCCTCTTTTATCTCTCCATTCGTGCCTCCCATTGAGTTGATTCCTCCTCTGCAGTCTTTATCTTCTAACCTGAAGCAATAACACTAACGTTTCACTTCAAGTTTTAAAGTCAAGGTGCCACTGAAAACCTGGCTCTGCCAGGACAGGTATACAGACATTCTAAAGAGGGGGAAAAGTGCTAACAATTTGGTCGTATAGATTATGGAGTGCGGTGAATGGCTATAAGAAAAGCACTAGCTGAATTCCATACACGCAGCCATGAGGGCTTGGCTTAAATCAGACAGCGTATTTGTTCTGTATATGTTTTTTTGGATCTCTCTTTGATGTTTTTCATTGTTTTGTTCAAGATTAGATTAGGGACTTCAAGATGCACAAACCACTAAAGCTTCCACAATCCATTGTGAAGTGCAGCATAATTTCGATTTCCAAATCCTATTGGAAAGGAAAATAAATAAATTTCAGAAAAAATATACTATTTCTGTTTATCTCATTTAAGGTACAGTGTTATTTCTCAAAGTCTTTGCTGAACACTGTTGCTATTTGAATTGAAAGAAAACAAACACATCCCTCTCTTCATTGATCCACCTCCAAAGCTCACCCTCCTCCAATCCTAACCGTCCTGCCCCGAATCGGTCTAGAACCCCGATCGCTGGCATGCGAGGCGGGTGCACTAACAAGGACGCTAAACAGTAAACACCAAATTCTCTAGCAGTCGTCAGCCTGCACAACTCTCACTAGCTAGCCTCCATTACACATGCAATGCAAGAGTGGATGTCTATTCATCGTAGCAGAAGCGCAACAAAATAATGCTTTACGAAAAATAAAGTGAAGATGATGAACGAATGACAAGGGAGAACAAAAAAATTACATACATACACAAGAGTAAATACAAACAAGAGTTCGTTGTTAGTTGCCAACAGCACAGCAGCTCCAGACAAACAATGACACTCAAAACCAGTGTTACTCACATGTGGAGTCGAATCAAAGCAATCTCAGCGTTGGAAAGCTTTTCTAATATTAACACGGCTCTTTAAGCTCTTTCCTGATCATATTCATAACCCTTAATTTTCCAGTAATACTCTTATGAGCTTTTCTCTTTTGTAATGTCTCTCAGCCATCTCTCTTTCTACAGTCTTTCTTCAAATCTCCCTCTTGCTCGTTCTCTCTCCTCCTCCTAATGTTGATTGGCTACACGTTGTGTTGTTGTGTTGGTCCGACCAACTTTCAAACAGTGTTTTTCAAATATCACTTACCCCACCTTTAAGTCTATTCTGACAAATATCATTGTGGAGAATCATTGTCCTTAATCTATTCCTGAACTTCAATACTGTAATAATATCATATTGGCAAAACAGATGTGGCAAACACTACAGTGTGTATTTGTGTTGGGCTCTGAAGAGCATCAAATGTTTCTATTTACAACATGTTTTTGCAGCATTGAGCAATGTAGCCAATCACTGTTCATTTCTTTAACTCAATGGCCAATCAGAGGTGTTTTTAAGTTAGTCGGTATCCACTCACTGCTCAAAATGCTGGAGTCTTCTGGTGTACAATGGAGATATTTCTGTGTAAATCATTACGTTTTAAGAGTGATTCACACAAATAATCAATAATGATCTCATAGAAGCTAAAGTAAGAGATACACTTCATATTGTTTAAAAAGTTAGAGAGGAGACACAATAAAAGTCCACCCTATTTTATTTTCATTCATTTTTGGATCACTTTTAAGTTGATTTCATGTTGTCCACAATAAATTGTATCGCTCAAAGAGGAACATCAGTGTCTGTCAGCATTAACTTTTGCTCTATAAGGAGTGCAATATTTAATTCAGCCTGCAGTCTAAATGTTTCCAGATGTTTCCACACAGACTGCAAGAATTTTTATAAGATCAGTCAGAGCATGTGAACATTTCATGTTGATTAAAAAAGGTATCGAAGTAAATGCCTTACTAGACAAAATCTTAGACAAATGATTAAAAACATTAAAAGAATAAATTGATCAGACCATTGATGCAATTCCTGTTGCCTAATTTTTTGTGGTGTAAACAAGGGAAGCTTTTTCCACAGGAAACCGCAGCCTTCAAAGCAAATGCTACGGTCTTTTATGATACTAGTCTATAATCTATAATAGGCAGAAAATCAGAGAATGAACTTTAAGGTGTGAAAATATCCATGCTTCCCTGTTGTCAAACCCCAAGGTGTTCCATGTTTTTCCTTTTCTTTATTTCACATCATATCAAGGTCTGTGGTTGAGTTGAAAAGAGAGCAAGAGTGTTTTGAGC